GCCGTGGGGTCGTCCCCGAGTCTTCCGTTCGGCAGCGCCGTGGGGCCCTGGCTCGTGCCCTGCCTGCCTGAGACCAGATCTTATGACAGTTGCCTCAAAGCTTGTTTGCAAAGCCAGCTGCAGGACCTCAGGCGGGCTGGCAAAGCTTGCCTGCAGCCCAGCTTGCTGCAGGACCCCCTGGCAGGCCAGCAAAGCTCATTTGCAGCACAGCTCAACCTCCTGACCGGCCAGCCGAGTGCAAACCAGACAAGGCTGTGTCTAGACACTGACCCCCCCGGCCTGCTGGAGCCAGGACTGCGAAACAAACACGTGCACCAGACTGGGGGAACGTGGGGTACATGTCATTGCCCAGGGAACCGTCTCCCCAAACACCTTGTAAAAGGCCATGCGACCAAACGACGAGGAGACCCCCACCACTGCTGCACACAGGAGCTATGGGGACCCCACCACCGACACACATGGGGGCTATGGGGACCCGACTGTTAAAGATTTTATTCTCACACAAGTGGGTTACAACTGTTAAAGATTTTATTCTCACACAAGTGGGTTACACCAGGTATTGCTTTATTCACAACTCAGAGTTGGGCCATCACCTCAGTGAGTGGCCAAGCTGAACTCGCTAGATCAGTTTATAGACATTTATTAACCGATTACATCAAGGCTAGAATCTTCATAAGTTTCTAAGCAACCGTTCCGTTCCTTTGAGTACACCATTTATTAAGTTCTTTCTATTCTTCTGTCTTGGTAGAATTCTCCCTGGCTGGTTTCAGGCCTTGCTTGGTTTCAGGGTCGTCTTGGAGTCATCGTCTGTCCTTCATCTTCTTTTGTGAATTCTGTTTGATACAATCCATACAATTAATTTCTATCCCAATTGCACGCATACACATTGTATGGTTTCTTAACACAGCTGTGTTCACACAGCTGAATCTACGTTCTAGTTCTATGATTTTATTCTATTCTATCATCAATCTTCTTTATAATCAATCTCTGACACCGACCACCGACACACATGGGAGCTGCAGGGACCCCACCACCGCACACAGGAGCTATGGACGGACGGGACGCCGCGGGACCCACGGCGGC